AATGGATTTAAACATGCTAGAATATTAACCTCTCATTTATATTTATTAATCTGTATAATATCTACACATATTCTTTGTCTATTTTTTATTGAAGCATTCAGTCATTTAATGGATTGTGATGGCTGCTTGTACATTAGGGATATTAATATTTGTAACAATTATATATATAGTCTTTAGAATGTGTTTACTTTTTGTCTGTCTTGGTGTTTCTGCTTGTTTAAGAACTAGTCAAAATGTTTCTGTATGTTCTGATCTCATAGTATCAAGTCATATCTAATAGTAGAAAATGTTCTCAAGTTGGAAAAAAAATCATAGCCATAATGGATTTTATGCTTGAGAAAGTCATACATGTAGCTTATAACCATCAAAGGTGAATAAGTTTTACCACTTTGATTTTAAGTTATTTTCTCCTTATTGTTCAGCAGTACCTCTATATCTAGAAGTTATATCTTGTTGATTATTGTTGAAGGCAATAAGCAGAACAATACAAATCCAATTTCATGAGTAGAAAGGTTCCAGAATGTCAGTAGACTCCTGCTGTCAGACCTCTCTCAAAACCTTAAATCCTGGAGTTCAAAGTCCTCACTTACATCTTGACAATGGTGTTCAGACCCATCAACACAAGAATAAATACATTTATTCTCTTTCAAGCTACGGAATCGTATTCTCTTTATTGTCTGTTAACATACATTTTCAAAGAGAGTGTTGTTTCAAAACAAAAAAAAGAATTTCTTTCTTTTATTCCTTTAGGACAGTAAGAACAAAAAGACTTTCGGCTTAATGGTATATCTTAATTCCCCAAGAATGAGAAAGAAATTCGAGGAGTTGAAGTGTAAATGCACTATGTTAAAAGGTCCCTCTTGGATGAAGCTTGGAGCTTTTACAGGGCACAGCCAGGTTCTGTTTCACAGCCATGGCTGAGGCCATTCATTGCTCATTTAAACGGACTTAGTATTCCAATTTAGTTGCCTTTCAGAGTAACAGTTTAGATGTTTTTCCGGTTCAATTCAATAACATTTATCACAATCATGTAAATTCAATGAAGGCTGTATTGAAACTACTTCCTAATGGCCAATCTCACTATATATGATGAAAGAGATCATTAATTTATCCCCAAGTCATGAGCCTAATCTACACATTAATTATACCATCTGTATCTATCCCATTCCACTCTGTGTGTGCGTGTAGTTCATTTTTTCATCAGTATGTTCCCTATGGCAAAGCCTTCCCCAGCGCTGGCAGGAAGAGGGGTCCCAGCAGCTTGACTGCAGCTCTGGCACGGCCACCCTTGTTCTCCAAGAGCATGGTGAGGATACAGCATGTGGCAGTCCTCTTTGCAGTCGCCTCATTATGCCTTCCCAGGCCTCCCAGGCTGCTCCGGTGACTTTCTAGTGTCCACAGACAGGCTTCCTGGAAGGCAGAGTTACAACAGTAGAGAAACAGAGCAATTCAGACACACACACACACACAGACAGCGATCTTCCATCCACTGGCTGACTCCACAGATGGTTGAAAACAGAGCTGGGCCAGTTGGAAGCCAGGAGCCTGGAACTTGACGTGGGTCTCCCACAGTGATGCAGCTACGCAAGTGTTTGGGCCAAGCTCCACAGCTTTCCTAGGTGTAATATCGGGGAGCTAGCTCAGCAGTGAGCAGCTAGTACTTGAACCATGGGGAAAGGATTTGTCAAACAAAACACACACACACAATGAAATGAGATCTATATACACTCAGTTTTACATTTACCTTGAAGATGTAAGAGAGGACAAACAACACATTCGTATAATGTGATTCCCCACTTAGATGTGGTTGCAAGTTCTCTTTAAGTAGTCGGGCAACTGGAGAGATGAATAGAGAGAAAAAGCAAAAACCCAAGATGTCAAACACTTAATTGTGCTCAGTTGATTGGACCTAGCACTCCTCTAGTTTGAGACAGAGTGGTACAGCCTCTAGCTCTTGTAATACAGGGCTGCCTACTTCTCACACATCAGTTAATCCTCAGAGACACCCTGTAATGATAAAGCCAGTTACCTCTTTTCCATCTGTGGCTTCGGTCTCCAGTTCCTCAGTGGACTCTCATGCAGACTAGAGCAGACCATGGGGCAGAAGGAGAATTCTCACTGCCTCACTGTCACCTTTTCAGCTCTAGGATTTATCCTTCTCTCTGGAGCTTTCTCTGCTGGCTGTCCACCCCCTTCAATGGACACTAAACAGCTGCATCCTTTGTAGAAAAAGCCATCATACGTGGTCTGTTTGTTCAGAATCAACTTGCAAGACAGGGATACTTTGTCAATCATTTTCATTTCCATCTTCCCAAATGCTAAAACTTTAATGGGAACATATTTACCTTCAATTGCTATTCTGGAAAGGAATGTTTATGAACTAATACTTAGGAAGACCCATGTTTAATCCATGGCAAAACAGTTTCTGAGCAGGTGCAGATCCATGAAGAGCTGAAGCAGGCAGCTGAAGCTCGTCGATGCCTGGGGAAGGACTAGCGACTGTCCACCATCCCCAGGATTGCATCTATGCAGATTCTCTGTTTTCTGGTCGGGAGAGCTGCACCAATAGGCGAGGTCTGGGAGCCCTGACTTCCTGAAAAGACAAAATAATTTTAATTCTGGATGAGAGCCATCAAGCTTGCTGCCTACCACACAGCCCTCTGTGGGTTCTTCTGCCTGTGGTACCCCAAGGCTTCGTTCTGTGGCATCTCATTACCAGCAGCTTTCAGGCTACGGTTAGGGCATTCTATTTTCAGTTGTTTTTCAGAAGCTATGACATGGCAGCAATGTGTCTAAGCATTACAGTAATGAGCCATCATGCAATTGAATCCTGTAGTTATATTTGGGGTGGGGGTAGGGAGGTGCTGGGTCAAGGCTGGGCTGTCTCCATGTCTTTATTTGTGTCTGCTTTCAAACTTAACAAGGATACAATCTTGGCTACTCCGCAATGTTTTTATCCCCAACCCCTAGTTTGTTCCTGGAGGAGGATGAGGCTGCCCATACTTTGCTAGTGATTCCGGAGGAAATAACTGTGAAACCACTAAGTGATACTTTATATTCCTGGACTTTCAACTAAGGGTTTTGTTTGGTTCGGATTTATGCTGAATCCCTCCCTTGTGCCCTAGACACTCTGTGCTTGACTCTCTGTGAGAGCTGTGGCCTCTGGCTCTTCTGATAGATGGGGCAGGGGCATGATCAGACAATACTAGGAAGATTAATCCAGCAACAGTGAGAAAAGATAGGCTGGGGGAGTGGACAAAGACAGAAACAAAGGGAACTGTTTAGAGAGACCAGTGGCAATCCAGCAGAGGAACCCCAAGGCCAGGGCCAGGACAGCAGAGGGGAGAGTGGGCCAGGGGTGATCCAGGGGAGAGACCCCCCAAGGCCAAGGCCTAGGCAGCAGAAGCGAGAGTGGGCCAGGGGTGATCCAGAGAGAGACCCCCCCAAGGCCAAGGCCAGGGCAGCAGAGGTGAGAGTGAACCAGGGGTGATCCAGGGAGGAACCCCAAGGTCAGGGCCTGGGCAGTAGAGGCAAGAGTGTAGACCCACTCTAAGAGAATGGAGTTGTCTGTACAGACCCTAAGCAGGGGAGTGGAGCTGAGGATGGAGCCCCAGACCAGGGAGACTCGGTGAAGGTGCATACAGGGGAGTGGACATGAAGACAGAGATAAAGACAAAGTTAAGGTATTACAGCACAGAACCAAGAGACTTTGCAGCAGGAGATAGGTGAAGGGTGTGGAACAGGTTTGAGACTGAGTAGACACTGTGTGGCATTGCGTGGCACTGCATGGCACTGTGTGGCACTGCTAAATCTGAGGAACAGAAACAAGGAATGTTAGCAGTATCAGGACTATTGGAAATCAGAGGCGGAGTTCAAAAATCCCGTGAGGATGCCTCTCCCATGCTGTCCTGCTTTAGTAGCCCCATTTCCTTTATCCCTCCCAAAGTCAGCACATGGTTAAGGTCACAGTCGATCACCTTCATCAGCAGGTAGAGCATCTCAGAAACAAGGGCCTGACTTGTTCTTGAAATAACCCAGGATATCACTCCTCAGTTCTTCTACTTACGTCAAAGAACATTATCAACTTGGAAAGTAAATCACAAATTCTGTGACTGAGAGAAGTAGGGACTAGAAAGTGGGAGTGAGTTGACCAGGCTCACAGAGCCAGTTATCTGCATCCCTACACCTGCCTGGGCCTCTGCGTTCCCCTGGCAGCAGTCGGCACCTTGCAGGGACCACAGCATGCTTCCCCCGTCCCATCACTGCCATGCATTGCTGTGCTCTAAGAACCATTATTTTGAACTGTTTTGTACTTCTCTGGTCTCCTAATAGCTCATTATTGATTCCTTCTAAGTAGATGTTGAAAATTTTAGCTTTCCTTCCCTACTTTCTTGAGAGTCTGAACAGAGTCACCCTATGTTCATATTCCAGGTGTCTGTAGTCAGCCTGAGCAGTCAGCATATGCTCTGCCTCCCTCCTAAATATGGGGGTCCTTCATAAGCCTTAGTGGAACAAATCACAGTGTGCTAAGCTTGGATTTCAAATATTTTTGTATCAAAATAAACCTATCTCAGATTTAATTTTCAAATACCTTTGGAAGTGCCCTCATCAAGGTTTGTTCACTCGGAATGACCAAGAACATGGTCGATCATTGACTAAAGCAGAGAGTTGGAGAAGAGCGTGTCTGCTGTGTCTCCTGTAACTGCAGTTACACTATGTGACAGTCAGTCTCACCATCCTACGGATTCTGTTCTCTCTAAGCTCGTCAGCCAGTGGGAAGGGACATGAGCTGCGTTCTTAGAGTGGGTGAGAAACCAACACAAATGGGAAAATCCACAGTAATCAACCAAGAGCCTGTTTATGGCATCAGGATAGCCAAGGCCCACTGCCGAGGGCCAGTAGAACAGGGTTTGAGGAGCTGTATCCACAGGACAGCTTCCCCTGAACACCGTGGAATGAACCCTTTGTCTTTTCTGCTTGGTCCTTCCCCTCCCACCTAGATGCCTTGAACCTCCGAAATAGACAGGTCATCTGCGTCACACTCAAAGTCCTCCAGCATCTGGTGGTGTCGGCTGAGATGGTGGGTGAGGCCCTGGTGCCTTACTACCGTCAGATCCTCCCCATCATGAACATCTTCAAGAACATGAATGGTGAGTTATCCCAGAACTCAAATGGCCTTCTAAGCCAAAAGAAAAAAGGAGTGGCTTGAAGTAGAGCTGCTTTCACCAGCAACTCTTTCAGGATTTTATCCTTGCATATTTCCCTAACCCAGATGGAGAGCTAAGTAGCAGGCTCCCACTCCTTCTCCTGCTACTCGCTGGGGATACAGTAAAACGAACAATTTCACTTATTGCTTCTCTCGTGAACAGCCTCCCTACTCAGTCCAGAAGCACTGAAGTGGTTCTATAAGCTTCTAATAATCAAAATGTAAAGTTTAGTTTAATAGTCTGTTGGATAATATTAGCAGATTTTGAGTTTGTTCTTTTTCTTAATGGTTATCCTACCTGTAGATGCTTTTGAAAACTCAATCTGTTTTGTTTAATTGGTATAAGATGAGTTTTTTGAAACATTGTTGTTTAAATCTGGTAAGCCCTTGCAAGAGTTTTAATGCATGTTATCCTAAAAAAAAAAGTAGGAATTTTTTTTAAATTTTGTAATTGCTAATTGTTTAAGAATTTATAGAATTTGTAGTTACCTTGTTGATGGGTAAGTACTGGCTGTACATATATGCTGATCTATTTGTCTTTAAGAATGTTCTTTGGGAAAACAAGGATGAACTGAGATGCCCTTGTCTTGTGCTAACGAATGTACCGGCATGGTATTGGTTTATGTCTGGCAGGCACCGGGGTATACATCTGTTCCTTTGCAATGTGATTTTCTTGAAATCGGTGATTCTAATTTTCTTTTGTGTTGATTATTTAAAATTTCATACTTCTTGCATGTGTGGCATAAGTCAATATTTGTGATCTACTTCTGGTAGCCCTATAAGCAAAGTAGTAGTTTAGTGGGACCCTGCCTGAAGGTGTTGCTACTTGGTCTGGCCATACAGACAAGAAAACCACCCACCATGAAGCTATGTGTGGTGGTCACCATCCCAAGCAAGCCCTTTGGCCTCACTGTGTTCTCATTATTGCTGAGTTGCTATCAGGTTGCTTCCGGCCTGCAATTGTCAGGAAATCGGGGAATTCTCAGCAGCTCCTTAGCTGCTGATGCTTAATATTATGTATATTTAGTAAAATAGCTTCAAACTGGGGTAATAGGAGCTTGAGAATGCTTGTGGTGGGTGGGGTTGATCTCCATTTCAGACTAGCTGAGGAAGTCACTGTGACCATTTAGGCAAGATGGTCACTCTTTGGAAAAAATAAAACTAGGTTTAAGTAATGTGTCTCTTACTGTTCAAACTTAATATTCTGTTAAAGACTTGTCCACTTTATGGGAGATACTTATTAAATATTCCGTATTTGTGATTCATGCTTTTGCCACATAGTATCATCTACTACCCTTGGTGTTATAGCCGCACTATCTATTTCATGGAAACTCTCAGCTCATTCACTATGTTTAGATTCTAGTTGTAACTTGATGGAGCTAGAGAGAGGAGGAAATGCTAGAAATACAGGAGCTAAAGACCACCACAGAGATACTATAGCTACAAGTGGATGGAGGGAGAGTGCAAGAGAACGAGGGAGAGAGAAATGGGACGGAAGGAGATGGAAATGGACGTGGAGACAGAGATATTAAAGACATGGAAGAATCAGTAGCAGCCTCCCGCAAAAAACTTGAAGCTTTTGCTGTGTATGTTTCACAAATATTTCCTTATCAGTACTCACAGAACCCATGTGTATTCTATTTCCATTTTATTTTTGTAAAAGTTGCCTCTGCAGTTTCCCCTGTGTAAATACTTTTTCAGTACTTGGTGCTCATGGCAGATGTAGCTGGATACCCTTCCCCTCCCCGGGTGGAGGGTCTGAACAATGCTGTGTTCCTGCTTTTCGTGCCCAAAAGTAAAATCTGGAACTAAAACCTCAGCATCATTTTCTGCCTTTGTGTGAAAGCAGAAAGTCGGTAATGTTCACAAGATAATTAGAATCTGCCTTATCCTCCAAAAACACCTAGAAAGAAGGATAAATACAGATGCCAGCGGAGATAGACAGACCTCGTTGGGAATGCTTGGCTATTAACAGAAGAGTTGGTTTCCACTGCTTCCTCATCAAAGTCTTGCACCAACAAATGTCCAGGTGACTAACAAGGGCGTGGTTAGCTTTAGAATTCCATTCCTGTTGCGGGGTTACCGTGGAGGGAATGCACAGTCTATGCTGCACTCCTTAATTGGTCCCAAAGACAGCTCATTCCTTTGGAGCATTTCTGTATGCAAGCATCAGGATTTCTACAAACTATCTTTGTGCTTAATATTTTTCTGACATTTCAGGAGAAAAATATCGGTTTCAGCTTCATTTTCTGCTTGTCTTAGAAACATGTCACTATAATGCCAGATTGCTATATATTTTCATTTAATCCTATTATAAAATTGGAGCATTCTAGCTATAAAAACTTAAAACTGTTCTCCAAAGTGGCTGGGTTACTGTGGATCCAATCAAGAAGCCTGTCACTGGGTTTCCAGTTAATATAGCATTCTCACTAAGGAGAGACTACGCATCAATAGAGTTTTAATAAGCTCTGCTTTATCATTGTAGAAGTTTCATCTATGCACACAGCACATACCCATGCATTTTATTTAAGCTTATGTCTTTAGTAATATCTATATATATATATATTTACATACAACTGAAAGTGTTAGAAGTTTACTGTATGTAACATTAGGAAAACACTCATCCTAAATTTTAATGTATTTGAGAGTAGTTTTGTTCATTTCTAATGTCTCTTCCCTGTATGCCCTTTGTTTGAGTCAGTGTCTTTTTAAGGTCAAATTCAAACATATTTAAGTCCCACTATAAAACTCTTTTTAGAATGGGACAAGATGTAAATTTGAAAGCGGGGGAGATACGCTTTCCCATGTGCTGACTGCCCTTTCAAGTGCAGACGTCAGCCAGTGCTAGCGTGGCTGTCAGAGGTCAGATGGGCTTACTCGGAGACGAGCAGTGAGTGCTGAGTAGCTGGAGAGCTAGGTAAATGTCTCAGCACTTGCCCTGCTGGGGAGCCGCAGGCTTGAGTCTTCTTGGGAACCAGTTAGAAAGAGCAGGACAGCGACGAATGCGCACAGTCACCAACCTTTCTACTCTCTCAGAGGTGCGAAAAGCTTACAAAATATTACAAGATTATTCTTGCCCTAAGAGAGAATAACTGCATTTTTATTTATGAATACATATTATTTAGGGAAGAGTTAACAACAAACTAATCTGAGCGTGATGTTTTATGGCCAGAAGAGATGTGACCTTACACATATCATCTAATTTCTCTGATCTTAAATTTCTTGATCTGTGTAAACTACGTCCAATGCCAACTTTCTATTAGGATTGCTCAACAATTAGAGGTAGCATGTCCATTACCACTTCCTGTGGAGCCTATTCCTGGATGAATATTAAATAAGGTAGCCATTCTTATTACACAACATTATGCACATGAGCAATATCATGTACGTACCTTGTTATATGATCTTATATAAAACATAGTAATTAATGTAGTTACTATGCACCAATATAATGAAGTGCTTGAAAGTATCGCATGGGACCAATATCCTTCCATGTCAAAAAACAATGGCCTTGGCCCCTCTGTGACCCATTGGCTAAACCCAACCTCCTGCCCTCATGGCCCTCTGCTTTTAAGGATGCAGCCCACCTTTCTGATGGTCACTGCTGGTGAGTGGCCAGGTAAGTCTTGGCCTCTGGGGCCAATTCAAGGAAAAGCACTTTTCAAGTCTGTCATTTCCTGGCCTCTTTGTTTTATGTTCAGACAAGTGACAATCGAGCACTGTTGTGGGAAGTGTTGTGTTTCAGTAAGGGAAATATGAGCAGGACAGACCACGGAAGTCATGGTCAGGGTCCTCTGTGGATGCCCCAAGCTGACAGCTAAGCCTTTGAGTTCATTTCCCTGAATTTAAGTGGTGAATTCTGAAGCATATTGTTATATTCCCAGGGATTGCTTTGAAATGAGACAGAAAGAGGAACTTCTGCAAAACATTCCTAGAATGCATATGTCGTACAGCCAGTAGCAGGTGCCTCTTTCCTGCGTTCTTTCACACATGCTCTTAAAGGCTACATAAATGAAGACAGTAGGACTGTGCAATTTAGAGCTTTCAGAGGTGAAACTACAAACTAATGCTGCAGGGTGTTCCACCTGAGGGGTCAGAGTAAGCGCATCAGACGCAGGCTGTGCAAGGCAGGTCATGGTTCCCTAGTGACCCTGGCTTCCTGATTTTGTTTCCTTGGCTACCTACCCCATGCATCCTGAAACAGCTCTTACCTGAAATAGCTCTGACTCTGGGTATCTGAGACTCCAAAAATACTGTGAGTTTGTATCCTTGAATATGTAAAACCGATGTGATAATGAAATATTGTATTTCGATGTCTAAAATGATTGAGGAATATGACACCAGAGACTAATAAAAGTCTGTGAAAATAAACTGAAACTTTAAATTTTACATTAAGGGAAACAATGTTGTAAAAGTGGAGGTTTTGCAGGATTTTAACTCTGAACTTAAATGTCTTCTGAGAAACACAAATGGTATTTCTGCAGGGAGTCTTGGAAAGCAGCTTCTCTGAGAACCCAGGAATTCTCAGGTGAGCTGAGTCATCACCACTTAGCTGTGTCCAAGCTCCGTGTGACCCATTCTTGAGATCCTTAAAAACATTTATGAACTCTGGGGTGTGATTTTGTTTACCAAAAAGTAATCTTCAGTTTTTCATCCTCAAAATTGTCTTCTCACAGAGATCTCAATCCAGTTCTGAAACTGGATTCCAATCCTGTGGGATTCTGAGCAGTTTGGGTTCCTGATGTACATTTTAGAATGCTGCTTCAGAGTTCCTCTGAAAACAGTTTTTATTAGATGTATCAGCCTTGGATTATCCTAAGTTTGTTGAGGAAATGATGAGAGCTGCTGCCTCCAAACACCTCTAAGCCGCTAAGTGAGAGCTGCAGCTGGCCTAGGACTGGGCTGGGCGCTGTGAGCACCTCTCCAGGCAGGCTGCTCTTGCGGCACTAAAGGGAATGTCGGGATCATAACAAAACTGGGGTGTGTGTACAGAGGCCCTCTGATTCCAGCAGCTCTGCACTGAACTGAACTCGTAAGACCATTCATTCCACAAAGGCACAGTGTCTGTCTCCCCGTGTGAAGTGAGTGTGGCACAGCTAGTAGAATTAGGTGTTTCTGAACATCTGTGTGGCACTAGCTTGTTAACCCAGCTTACGTGACCAATACCTGCAGCTTCTGGCCTTCATAAGGCAGCATCACCGCTATATGAGGCTAACTCTTGTAACTGCATAGAGAGGCATGCTGTATTGAAATGAGAGCTATGGCTGCTACTTCTCTGGCTTATGTTTTTAGCTTAAACTATATGATTCACTGAAGAATCCCTTTTCTAAAAAACAGGCCCTCAAGGGATTGTACACAGTTTTCTTTCTCCTTCAATCTTTGCCTCTCCAAGTTCAATGTCCCTGCTTCTAAGCATTCTTCCTAAGCAAAGTTTCCAGATGTCACTGAGCAGAACCTATCTGGGGTGGTTGAGGATGGGACAGAGACACACACCTGCACAAGCTGGGAGTTGTGCGATGTTCTACATTAGCTGCCCCAGGAGATGCCTTGGTCCTGGAAGCAGCCAGAGCTCCGACATTATCATTTAACACCGCTCACATGTCATGGCCTTACCCCCAGTCAGCCCAGGAGATATCTTTCCCATGATAAAATCCATAAATGTAAACCACATAAAAATACATTCTACTCTGGCCTAGCACAGTGGCCTAGTGGCTAAAGTCCTCGCCTTGAATGTGCCAGGATCCTTGAATGTACCTTGAATGTGTGCTGGTTCTAATCCCGACAGCTCCACTTCCCATCCAGCTCCCTGCTTGTGGCCTGGGAAAGCAGTTGAGGATGGCCCAAAGCCTTGGGACCCTGAACCCGAGTGGGAGACCTGGAGGAAGTTCCTGGCTCCTGGCTTCAGATTGGCATAGCACCGGCCATTGCACTCACTTAGGGAGTGAATCATCGGACAGAAGATCTTTCTCTCTGTCTCTCCTCCTCTCTGTGTATCTGACTTTGCAATAAAAATATGTTAATCTTAAAAAAAAAAATACATTCCACTCAAGGCTGCTTAGTTGGAGCTGCTTTTCAGCCCAGGTTTTCTGGTGGACACCCTTGATGGCAGAAGGGCGATGACACCACGTCCCCTTGTCTCTGTGAGCACCTGTGCTCTGCTCCACAGGCTGTCTGGCCTGCATCTGCCCATTGCCAGTGGTTCTTCTGTTACTAGAAAGACATGGCAGTGAGAGTGATGGCGGAGCATCAAGCACCCACTTGGGAGAGCTTTGCATTTCTGTGCTGTGGCTGCGGTAACAGATTATCACATGGTATGTGGATCAAGCCACAGGAACAGACCATGTCACCGTTTTGTAGGCCTGGAGCTTACAGTCAGGGCACTGGCAGGACCAGGCTCTCTCAGGAGCCTACAGGGTACTTCCTTGACTCTTTCAGCTTCTGCAGGTGCCAGCAATCCTTGGCATTCCTTGGCTTGTAGATACCTCCACTCAGTCCTCACAAAACCTTTTCCAATATATCGGTATCTCTGCACCTCTTCTCTACTTGTAAGGGTATCAGTCTCCTACACATTTGTCTAAGGGCCTGCTTTTCTAGAATGGCCCTATCTTAACCAATTTTGCTGATAACAACTCTATTTCCAAATAAGGTTACTTCTGAGATTCAGGAAGGGACATGGGAGGACATGGTTCAACCCAGTGCAGACTGCACTGCCCTGTGACAGTGCAGGGAGCGCGAATCCTATCTTGGGCAATAATATTAGAGATTTGGGGTTCCATTTGCTCCCCACCACCACCCTGCCCTACCAACAGGTGAGAATCGCGTCTCAGCACAGCCAGCAAGAACTGCCATCTTCAGCAGTAGTAGAAATCCCTCCCTTTTCCTTCCAACAGGAAGGGCTCCTTCAGATGGGGAAAAGATGTAGGTAAGTTTCAAGGAGAAGAAATAGCAGAAAATGGATTCTTTTTTGTCTTTGATAATGCTGCAAATTAGCAAGAGAATTAAACAGACACTGTCCACAGCCTTTGCATATTCTGGGGTTCTGAGAGATACCTGGGACTGGTCAGGAAAGAGGACCATGTCACCTGAGCCTGCCCCTGCCAAAACTGCTGAGCAAAAAGTTCAAACCCCTCTGTGCCTGAGGGTGGGGCTGCACCAGACAACACAGGCTCACCTGCCTTGCACAGGTGGACTAGCATGTGGGAAAACAAGCGACGGGGCGGAGTGTGCCGAGCAGAGCCCAGGAGGAAGGCCATGGCATCAGATGTCCTTTCTGGCCTCCGGTTGCACCTTTCCAGCTGTGTGGCCTTTGATGGGTTACGGCCGTAAAAGCAAATGGTGAGGAGGATGAACAAAGCACCAACCTTCAGGGAGGCGCAAGTGGGTCATTTTGTGGGAACCTCAACTTGGGAGACACTGAGAGGAATGAATCACAAAATGTGAGTGGAGTGACTTTGTGGCTGAGCGTGATCGAGTGTCAGGCGCCTGTTACATCTGCCTCAAAGGGTGTGACGAAAACTGGGTGGTGTGTTGTTTCTAGGACACACCCATTAGAAACCCATTAGAATTAATGACATGTGAGTAAGGTGATTAAATGCAAAATAGATATTCGGGAATCAATATCTTACCATATGCCAACAGTCAGAAATGGAATGCAGGGTCTGCTTTTCAGATGCTAGTAACTCCTACTTGCTCAAATATTCCAACACAAATTCTCGCAGCTTCTCTCTCCCTCCCCGCGGTAAACAGTTTTAAGGGACTCGCTGGAGCCCTCACTTTCATGCAGAGTGGGACTGAAGGACTTCTTTAATCAGGGCTTGGTGGGGAAGTTCACCCAGCATCACGTGCCCCTCTTAGCCTTTTCAATCCCAGCCTCTTTCTGAGACAGACACTTCTTGCAGCTTTTTGATGGCTCCTGAAGTTTTAGCTTCTCAGTACAAAACTTGCCAAGTCCACAACATGGCTCTCCCACGCATCCTGGTCTCCGCTGCCTCAGCCCTGTCATCCTGACTTCACCTCTGACACCCTTAGGCCACCCTCCCTGTGGGGACAGACTTGCAAAAGAGTCTAGAAGTATGTCCCAGCCCTGGCACAGCTTAGTGGTGTCCAGGCCCATGACCAGGGTGCTAGGTCGACACTTGCTGCTCCTGATGCTTCTGTGTAAACAGCCTCCAGATGGGACAAGGGCCAGCATCTTTGCCTGGTGACCTGCGGGTCACAATGGGTCATGTGGTCTAATGCCCTGCCTGTGATGGCCTGGCAAGGGACCCCCTATCTTAGGACACAGCTTTTACTGCCAGATTCAAACTCAAATATCCGGTTCTCTTTACGCGTCCCCATCCTACTCAGACGAGGAGAGTGAATGTGTGTCTTGCCTGTGTACACCCAGCCTCTGTCGGTGTGTCAAGTTCCTGTGTTTGTGTCAGACCCCTCATCAGGAGGGAGGGTAAAGATTCAGGGAGAGCTGTCTGTGGCTTAGTCTGTCTGCGAAGCCCTATTCACATTGTGTATCTTAACACCTTCCCTCCACTTGGAGCCACCCACAAGGGCCTATTGATGGAATCTTTGGGGTCTGCTGGTTCCTGAGCCTTAGCCATCCCTGCTGCCCACCAGAACCTGGCACACTTGTTGGTGGAAGGTTTCCACCGGTTCACCTAAGGTCTTTCAACTGCACCGAGAGAAATCTGCATAACGTGCTCTACTGTGTGTAAAAGCCCCAGCTGGGCCCCAGATGAGCAACCTGCAGTTACTCACCCTGGAGAAAACAGTGTGCGCTTGTGTTTGTGCGCCACAAAGTGTCACTCCCCCGAGGCAGGAAAGCAAATGGAAATTTCTAAAGCTTTCATTTAAAGAGGCCTCTGTCTTCATTGAGTTTGTAAATCGTCTGTTTTAAAGCACATATCACATCTAGGCTTGCTGATAACTAAGTTGGGATCCTCGTTCTCCTCTGCATGTCAGCCTTTTGTGAGACTGGACAAACATCCAGAGGTCTCTTTGTGGGCGTTGCAGAGAAAATAAGAACGAGACCAGATGAGACTGTGATGTCAGAAAGTCACTGTTCGTCCCTCATCAAAGGCAAGGCTAAGGGTAGGGTGAAGGGGCACTGTTTAATGCCCTGTGAACCACAGCACAGGCCTCGGTTGTTCCACAGCATCTCAGATCCCACTCAGAGCCCTGCCGACAGACCAGAACCCTGACCGTGACTCGCCCTTGATTTTCTTTCCTGATCCAGCTTGGGCCTGCTCCAGCTGGAAGTTTGCCTAAGAGTGGCTGGGCAGCACCTCCGCTTTGGTGCCTTTTCTTGGCTGCTCCCATCCAGGCCTGACTCTGGTATGTAAGAGGTGCCAAAGGGGATGGCCTTGCTCACCGCTGCCTCCTGAACAGGATTGGCAGGGGTTTAGGCCTGGCTTACCCTCACTAGCTGGGCTTCCTCAGCCTCTGCCCTGCAGGTCCCTGATGCTCCACATGGATGCTGTCCTGCATGAACATCCCTCATGACTCCTTTCATGGTCCCAAGAGTCCCCCAGTTTGCTTTTCTGCCCTCGTGCCCCTGGGAATCCCTCTACCCTTCAAGGAGAACCAAATACAACCCCGTTGGTACTGGCCCTTGCATGACAGACTCCCTAACCCTGTGCTTCAGAAGCTATGGGCCTGCAGGCCCAGTCACCAACCCCGCAGCCACTGGCTTGTTCCCGATCTTACCATAAAGTAGGCACAGGACAGCAGCTGCGCATGCCCGGCAAGGGTGCCTCTCTGTGAAGTGTCCCCACCATTACTAGTTCCGCACTCACTGGGACCCCAAGACCCACCAGGGTCTGGGGAGCCCCACCTCCCCTGCCTGCCACACTGGTTTTGATTCACTTCAACTACACATGTCACTGTGGGAGGAAATTTCCTCTTAGTAGGAAATCAGTTCTTCATTTTTATTGCCTTTCCTTAAAAATTGGCATTTTTCACTTTGATGGAATGGAATGGAAATAGCTCAGTGTAATAACCATCAATGAGGGTGGAACTGAAAAACACAGTGGACATACTCCCCAGAAAAACCACAGATATGACTGATGTTTTCTTGCTGCCCTGTTTTCTGTGTTAGAGTTTCCTGTACACCTTGAACTAATGTTCCAAGTAATAAAGAACCAAGTAGTGGCAGCAATGTGGCCATGGCTAAGCTCTCTGTCCAGCCCTCCCTCATCAATTCACTTTTTCTACTTTTAAATGCAGCCCCTTCATGTGAGCTGACATCCATTCTGAAATGATGGTACAAGGGGAAAAAAAAGAAACCACCATACCCCTTCCGTGACCTTTACCCTGCGTATCACACATCCTTTGCATCTCCACCTCTGCTTCCCATCAGAAAGCCCCGCCTTTTGTCTTAGAATGTATCCCTTGGAGTTATCCCTGGCATGACCTGAAAAAGCTCAGGATGCAATATCAACATTTTGAAAAGAGAACTATCATTGGGCCACAATCCCAGAATTAACATGCAGTATTCTCCTACTTTTAAGCTGTCATTTGACTGCTAGGCAAAATGGATATTTATTATCTATACCAAGTGTTCTGAGTCATTTGTAGTCATGCTAACAAGAATTGTTAAATATTAAATGTGCTTGTATATGTGTTTGTTTATTGTTAACTATGGTTATAGTAAACCATAGTTATCTTCATGTTGAGGAGTGGAAGCACCAGTCCTGGCTAACTGACTGGCAGCCTGCAATCCTGAGAAGACCCTGCTGGCATGGATTGTCCAAAACACCTCTAGCCAGGGGCCTGAAGATCTCGGAGTGGCTGTTAGATCTTGGCTGGGAGCGACATTCTTGCTAATGGAGCCATAGGCCACAGGACAGGACCCTTGGAGGACATCTTCAGAATTTTGTTTTTCAAATCAAGTCCTCTGAAAACTGACAGATGACCATGAGTGAGAGCTTATAGTGTATTTTTCAAAGAACACAAATGCAATCCCCAATATTGACTGCATTCCTGTGAAAAACTCAAACACTTAAGATTGTGGTCAGTAAAATCTTAAACAGGCATGGTAAAACATTAAGTTTAAAGGGTTTTCATTGCATTTCAGAGTTAAAGCACATTGTCCAATGACTCCATGATTTACATATAAACAGAGTTCAAATAAAATCAAGAGGAAAATCAAAATGGCAGAATAGGGTAGGGAGACTTAGAGAATCATTATCCAGAGTGAAGCAGAGAGGGCACAATCCAGGAAATAGGAGATGAGAGGCCGACAGTAAGGGGCACCTGGAACTGACAGGCATGGGAAAGCAGTAGAATCAATGGTGTAGTGCTGCAGTGCCCAGGCATCCCAGTGGAAAACAGCAAGCTGTGATCTGAACACCGGAGACTGGAGCTCCACCAGCAGCCAGGTGGGAAGGGGAGTTCACTGGGAGCTCAGTAGCTCAAACCAGACAAAGAACTGCCTGTCTTGCTGGTCTGTTTGATTTGACCAGGAACAGAAACAGAGCAGCAGATCCCAATCAGGCAGTTTGGGAACAGAGTGGATTTCACAGCTCAGACAACCAACAGAGCAAAATCGGGCACCATTTTGTGTAGGAAAGCAAAGGCCACAGGACAGGACTGAGCATGTGCTAGTCTGGGAGTGAACTGATTTCTGGCTCAGTACATTGCAATGACGTGGCATCCTACAGGTTCAACCAAAAATAGGTCCGGGTAGCCCCCAGACCTGATCATCAATAGATCAAGAACTCCACAAGTAGCATATCAGGCGCCATTTTGTACAGTGTGGCAAAGACAATGAGACCTCAGGGACAACAGTGAGGTGCCAATGCACTTGTGCTAGAAGCTAACTCACTTCCAGTTCAATGTTTTGCACTGGTCCCACATCGAAAATAATACTGACTAGGCGTTTTGCAACTCAAAACATCTCCTCAAACCTAATACCCAATAGGTTCAGGCAAGATCAGCACCAACAACAGCCTAGCTATATAGGACACCTGGTGTCTCCCTACTCCTGGAACCTGCTCAAACAGGAAGTAGAAAAAAGGTATTCAGATAACAGTACAGGCTCAGCACAGGATAACAGAAAGTGGAAAGTGGTGAACCAGGAGCTGGGGCTACGGAAACCATGGCAGAAGTCTAATACAAGAACTCAGGTCTGAAACTCGCTGGAGGGAGTGACACATGTGACTGCAAACCAAGAACTGTGTACCAACTGCAATAAGTAAAATTGAACTGTAGACCTGTGGGTGACACAGCTTAGAAACCTGCCCTGAGGAAAAGAATCTGCTAACCAGAAGTACAGTGACCAAAAGCCAAAGAAGTGACAGAGACACAATGAATATTATTGAAAACTCTCCTGCAAAGGAGCAAAACTTTTTGCCAACCTCAGTTCACTGAGGAAGGCATCGAGAAAATGGAGGATACAGAATTCAAAACACTTGTTATAAAGCTTCTTAACAACAATGAGAAGCAAATACAGGAATTTAAAGATTTTGTCACACTGGAATTAGCAACACTGAAACAAAATCAAGCAGATTTGTTAGAAATGAAGGATACAATAGGACAAATAAAAATTCAGTGGAAAGTCTCCATAATAGAATGAATGAGGCAGAAGGAAGAATCTCAGAACTGGAAGATACTTCCTGTCACAATGGGGGAACAAAAAGCTGGATGCAGAGCTGGGTCAAACTAAAAAAGGTGTTCAAGAATTAAGAGACAGTATTAAAAAGCCAAATACAACAGTTCTGGGAGTTCTAAAGATGCAGAAAGAGAAGCTGGGTTTACTAATATATTTAATGAAATAATTAGGGAAATTTTCCCTAATCTGGAGAAAGAATTAGGAAACAGAATACAGAAGGGGCACACATCCCCCAACAGAGTTGATCAAAAACAATCTTCACCATGACACATGATAATCAAGCTCTCTTCAATCGGACATACAAACATAAGGAGAAGATCCTTAAATGTGAATGTGAAAAAAAAAATCAACTGACATATAAAGGAATGCCAATTAAACTCACAGGAGACCTCTCACAGGAAACTCTATAGGCAAGAAGAAAATGGAGCAACATATTCCAGAATCTAAAAGCAAAAATTTGCCGGCCCAGATAACGTACCCAGCTGAACTTTCCTTTGTCTTTGAAAAGAAATAAAATTCTTCCACAGAACAGAAAAGCTCAAAAAATTTGCCTCTTCTAAACCTGCCTTACAAAGTATACTTAAAGATGTTCTTTTGGCAGAGAAAAGGGATAGCACCCACCTAATCCAAAGGCAAATGTGAAGAACATCCCAGTAAAAAACAGAAGGCTAAAAAAAAGAGCAACCCATTACTAAAACAACAGGACCAAATTACCACCTGTTCATATTAACCCTGAACGTAAACAGCTTAAACTCATCAATCAAACATCCTAGATTAATAGACTGGATTAAAAAACAAAACCCATCTATTTATTGCCTAAAGAGCCATATCTCACCAGCAAAGGTTAGCAGAAACTGTGTCTCATGGATTTTGATGTTTTTATTCTCGTCTCTTCAAAACATTTTCTTCTGATCAAATTCTTCAATGATCTATAGATCATACAGTAGCATCATTTTCTTTAAGAAGTTTCTTGATTTCTTTTTAATTTCTCCAGTGACACATTAGTCATTCAGTAGCATGTTATTTAACATCATGGCTTTGTAAGTTTCTATTTTTCTTCCTGTTGTTGATTTTGTTTTGTGGCTTTTCATTTAACAGGATGTATTAACTATATATTGACAATAGTATGCTGGACTCTGCCACTGTTCATGCCTGCAATGATGGGCTTATGACTGTGTATGAAGAACTATACTATTGTAATGATATAGGGAAACTCAGTGAGGGATGGGATTAGGGGAAGGGGTAAGGGACATCCCAGAGAATATGCAACTGTATCATAAAATTATAATAATAATACTTTCAAAAATGAAAAAGGGGAAACAGAAAAAAAAACTTTAAATAAATCAAGAAAGTCAAAGTGTGCCCAAACAGCATAGTGATTATACCATGCCACAAACAGCAGAATTCAGTTGAGTGTGTTAGCTGTGCAGCTTCCCATCACACACATAATATGTTTCCCGAGTAATTTCATCAACATCACCCACAATCCCACAGGCTAGCACTAGAAAGGACAGAGATGTATAATGTTGGGAGTGTCTCCCTTACTTTCCAGAGGAAGAAGTGGAAAATTGGATAAAATGACTTGCCCAAGGTCATATGGTAGAAATAAACCATTATTGACTAAAACAACAATAAAACAAAAAACAAAACAAAACATAATTCCTCCATCCAAACCTGCGTGAGGATAGATGCTCTGGACATGTAAATGGCCTTGCTGAGAGCAGCATCTCTGAGGTCACTCTGATCAACAGGTTTCTTTTCTTTCTTGCATGAAGAAAATGGAAATTGCATTGACCGCCGTAACAGCTGTTATATATGCTGCAGATCAAACGGCCGGCGCAGATCTCCTCAAGTTCTTTTTTCTTTTCTAATTGTTAATAACATTGTATTATGTGATACAGTTTTATAGGCACTGGGAGTCCCTCACCCCTCCCCAAACTCTCCCCCCATGGTGGATTCCTCCATCTTGTTGCATTACCACAGTTCAAATTCAGTTGAGATTCTTTCATTGCAAGCATATACCCAGCATAGAGTCCAGCATCTTATTCTCCAGATAAGTTCAACGGCTTCTTGGGGAGACCTTCTCTGGTCTGAAGATAGAGCCGGCAAGGTATAATCCCGATCAATTAAAAGCTCCAACAAAACATCAGCCACAATATACCATGTTATGGAATTAATTGACATAGTATTGAGTAAACAATATGTTAAAAATAATGCAAGTTCAATTTTTCAAAACACATGGGTTGAGACAGTATTAATTACAGGTTCAAAAAAAACTTAAAGCAAACATATGGTATCTAACCTTTTGGGATTGGCTCATTTCCCTTAGCGTTATGGTTTCCAGTTGGGCTCATTTGGCCACAAAGAACTGCATTTTGGTTTTGTTTTTTTTTTTTTAATAGCTGAGTAGTATGCCATGGAGTAGATAAACCATGGCTTTCTTATCCAGTCTTCTACTGATGGGTATTTTGGTTGCTTCCATGTTTTTGCAATTACTGATTGTGCTGCTATCAACATAGGGGTGCATGTTGGTTTGTTGTGTAACAGGTGTTTTGGATATATTCCTAGGAGTGCTATTGCTGGATTGTATGGTATGGTGATTTTCAGTTGTTTGAGTGTTCTCCTTACTGATTGCCATAGAGGCTGTACCAACCTGCAGTCCCACCAGCAATGGAGTAGGGTTCCCTTTTCCCCTCACCAGCAAGTGTTGTTGGTGTTTCCCTGTATGTGGGCCAGTCTTACTGGCGTCAGGTGGTACCTCATTGATGTCTTAATTTGGATTTCCCTTATTGCCAGGAAACTTGAAACTTGAGCATTTTTTCATGTGTTGCCATATGGGTTGTTCCTTTGTGAAATGTCTGCCCATTTCCCATACCCATTTCTTGAGCGTCTTAGTTTTTGTTTGTTTGGTTTTTTTGTTGTTGTTGGTATTTTGGTTGTTTTGGAGTTCTTCATATATTCTGGAGGTTAGCCCTCTATCACCTATGTAGTGCGCAAAGATCTTCTCCCATTCTATGGGTTGCTTTTTTACTTTGTTGATTGTTTCCCTTGCTGTACAGAAGCTTCTTAGCTTGATGAGGTCCCATTTGTTTAATTTGGTTTTAATTGCTATTGCTTTTGGTGTCCTTTTCAGGAAATCCGGACCTACCCCTAGATCTTGCAGAGTATTTCCAACATTTTCTTTCAAACGTTTGAGGGTTTCTGGATGTAGGTTTAGGTCTTTTATCCATTTAGATTTAATCTTAGTGTATGGTGATAAATGCGGGTCTATCTTTTTGCTCCTCAAGTTCTTGTGCATTACAAACCCAAAATGTTTTTCTGACATGAGTTTCTGTTGTACACTAGTGATCAATAATAAAGGAAATGAGTACAGATGAGCAGCAAGTCTACCTAATCATGAACATCAGAGAGAGTATTAAGTAACTTTCTTATGTAACTCCACTCTGCTGAAAGGCAGGTAACTACTTGAGTGCCCTTAATTTTCGTTTTTAATCACAGCCAAATTCTTTCTTATAATTATGGGCAAAATTGCTGAACATACAGAGTGTAATCAGCTCATGTAACAAGTCTTCCCACAAGAAAGTTATTCACTTGTATGTATTTATTTCATCAAATCTGAAACATCATCGGTAAAGATATCTCACATTTTTTTAAAGATTAATTTATTTATTTCAAAGTCAGATATACAGAGAGGAGAGACAGAGAGGAAGATCTTCTATCTGATGATTCACTCCCCAACTGAGCCCAACGGCCGGTGCTGTGCTGATCCAAAGCCGGGAACCAGGAACCTCTTCCTGGTCTCCCATGTGGGTCCTCAACTGCTTTCCTAGGCCACAAGCAGGGAGCTGGATGGGAAGTGGAGCTGCCGGGATTAGAACCGGCGCCCATATGGGATCCCGGCACTTTCAAGGCAAGGACTTTAGTCACTAGGCCACACCGCCGGACCCGATAGATATCTCACATTTTAAGCAGCACTAATTCACTTTAATGCGTCATCACCATCCTGATTCAAAAGTATTCACATGTAAACAGTGCAACTTATTGAAATGTAGTGTCTGAATCAATCAGAGTGGAGGAGAAAAACATCAGCTCTCAAAAATGGAAAATAGACTCCCGTGGAGAGTAAAAACCATCCCATCCCGTTTTCATCGGAATATTCCTGGGAACCAGTTAACCTAATCGCATAGCCAACTCATAACATGAGTAATAAAATCCATTAACTGGCAAGAAAGTTTAGCCCAAAACATTATCGTGCTTTGCCCAGTTTCCCAAGGGCAGTGGGGATTTGAAGCTAAATGGGCTTGATTCCAGATGAGCTCACTTGTTTTCTAAAAGTAGAGTCATGTCTCCTGCTTCCAGTTGCTTGGGCAGTACTTCTGCCGGCTGAGGGGCAAGCGTGTGTGTGATAAAGGGGGAAGAGGCCAGGACAGACCGTTTCAGAATCCTTGGTGCTTTGTAAAGCAGCACCCATCAGAAATACAGAGTTAACTTAGACAGGATCTGCATTGCCA